ATATGAATTACAATTCCACAATGATATTATGTTATATATATATATATGGACTGACCGGCAAAACTCTCCTCGTTCCAGCTTTCCCACTGAACACTACAAATAAATATACTTTTTTTGGCCTCACAAACATAATCTTGAGCTTATAATAAGCATAAATCAACTCCTTGTGTTTTATTTATTATAGGTTTGTATTCTTTTATTTTCCCGAAAGGGGGCCATGGGTTGCCTGGAGGGGTCACCTGTTTTAACCACTCGCACCACTATACAGTAGTTTGTTGTCTGTCTGTCAGTCAGTAGACACTAAAATGACGTCACATAACGGAATCTTAACATTTCAATTTGTACTGTCGTGACGTCAGTGAAATGTGCGCATGCCATGAATCACGAGAAGAATTATTCACTGTAAGCTACAACACAGCATGACATATGAACTTGAAAATCAAATAACATAAATATTTGTTACTCTTAACTTGGGTTGTATTTACTCTTGAAACAGAACACTTTCAAGGAATCTACCAACATTTTAAACAATAAAATAAAATTGTTAAAATTATTTCTCGAGAACCTAATATTAATATACGCAAAATAAAATAAGCTATTTTAACTAGATGTACACTCCCGCATGGCGCTATTCTTGTACTTACATTTCTACCAGTCTCCCCTATATAGAGAGTTAAGTTATTCATTGCTGTTCAGAACAAGTAACATTCAGCATAGTCAGGGAGCTGAAGAAATCAGGAATGTATGAGATAATAGCAGACGAAGCAAGGGGCAAAGATAAGGAGTAGTTAGCCCTTTATATACGGTATGTTTGTTCCAGAAACTAGATCACTGAAAGAGAATTTTCTGGGATTGAGAAAATTAGAAGATTTTAATGCAGATTCAATCACCGAATCAATACAAAAAATGGCCAAGAGTCAACGAGTTAGACAATCTTCATGTAGTGTGTAGTACAAATATGTGATGGTACAGCTATCATGAGTGTAATAAGTGGTGGTGTTAAAGCTAGGTTTTAAAAATATCACCCAAAAGTTATTTATATCCATTGTTACGCCCACCAGCTCAACATTGTGCTCTGTCACACACGTAAGTCAATCAAAGAAGCTGCTGATTTATTTAATACATTGGAAAATGCATACACCTTTCTTTACTACATCACAAAAGGTTCGGTGATGTCCAAGCTCAACTCGGATTAAAACAAAGTAAACTGATACAGCTTTCATATACACACTGGTCTTGCCAATAACATTCTGTGAATGTGCTGATGACAAACTTTCCAGCTGTTGTGCAAAGAATTGACGTCTCCAACAGCTGTTGGTCTGTTAGCAAAGCTGTGCAAGTTGTCTACAGTGTACTGCCCCTTTGTTTCATTCTCTCCTTAGTACATAGGCTGCTCCAAAACGAAAACTTTGATTTTAAGGAAGCAGTATGTAGCACTTTAAAGAATATGAGAACAAATGAAAAGGCAAAAGAAATATATGAAAAAGGAATGGCTTTGTGCATTGACATCCAGGAAACAGCACTGCAAAAGAGAAAACAAAATTGCATATATAATTTCGTGGTTAGAACTGCAAGTAGAGTACGTGAGGATGTCAGCACACCAGATGGTATGAGGACGAAATTATTCTATCATTGTTTAAATCGGAGATAATGATGGAAATTCAGGCATGCAGTCTGCTCTCACAAAACTTTCTTTCTGTAGAGGTCTTAAGTACTCTTGCTAAACACTACAAAACAGAACTGAAGCTCGAAGAAGTATTCGTTGCTAAAAAGTATTTAGCCTCTAAACAAAAGAATGGCGAAAATCTCATCATGGAAAATGTGTACCAGATTTTGGACCCTCTCATGTTTCCGACCTTAAGAAAAGTGGTACAAGTTATACTAACTATCCCAGTGAGTAACTGTAGCTGTAAAATGTCATACGGTGTTTTAAGACGTCTACACACCTGGCTGAGAAGCAGAATGGGACAAACTAGTCTACAACACCGTGCAGTGCTTTCGATTGAGAAAAGTGTGTTGGAATCTGTGTCTAAGGATGCTATCATTGACCGCTTTGTTAAAAGACAAAACAGGAGGCATACGTTGACGCTTCCTGAATAATTTCTAAGTAAACATTTTATATTATGTTATATATGCGAAAACAAAGTTTAATACTTAAAAGTATGATGTCCAATTACGTGGTTTTACAGGACCGTTTTGTGTTTGTAAATTTAAAGTTACTATGTGACTGTTTAAATTCGCTTAGTGTGCTATATAGCTTGTTTCATCTTACTAATGTAGATCAGTACATCATTGTATTTTGTGTTCTGCAAAATGTTGAAATACCTCATTATTTTCAGTGAGGGGGTCTATGTGACCGAACCCAAAATCTTTCAAGTACCTAGTGACGCCTCTGTTTGCAGTCTTGGTCCTGTTAATTTCTTACTAGAATCAAATGCTGTAGGGGTAGTCATGGAAAAGGATGAAAAGGTAAGGAAGTTGGCCATTGTTAGGGGAACAGCAACACAAGGCAGAATGGTTAAAAATATATTCATTAAGTGTAGTCTCATTGAGGCCTGTGGAGTAAGAAATTCACGTCAGCAGGGATACCTTTTCTATGGGCGATTAGAGAATGAGCACATATGAACGTTATAGAAATGTTATTTGATAAATGTAATTACTGATTAGTCCACCTCTAAAGGTAGTTTCAATTTAATTCTAATGTTCAACTAATATCTAGGAGTAAGTACATCAGCATAAATACGAGTTATCAGTAAAGAGATTACGAGTCAAGTGCCTAAACCAACCACTACATAAGTAAGACTAATTGGCCTATTAATTTATAATTACCAGAACATGCTTGTCATATTCCTTAAAAAGAGATGCAACATTGTAGTGTGGTTGACATATTTCAACATATTCTCTTTCACGTTCACTCTTAGAATTAGTTAGATTTCAGTCTTCTGGCACCTGCTCACTACTCAAAGACTTGCTCAAATACATTTTTAGTAAGAAGCTTAATTATATAATCCATAACCTCAAATAAAATTCCAACTGAAGTGGGATTCGAGTCTTGTCCTCAGGGTTTCTCCCCCCCCCCTCTATCCTCCAGTGGTTCAGCGGTAAGTCTGTAGATTTATAATGCTGAAAATTGTGTAGCTTTGTGCTCATCTACGAACAAACATATTCAGCGTTTCTATTTAATTGGCATTAATATTTAATTTTATGTGGATGTTTATCATTCAATGTATTACGCGCCATCTTTCGATCATGAAATATATATATATGTATATATACATACACATTTGACGTCACACGGAAAGCCATCCTCAAATTAAAGACAGGAGGTGAATGAGGTTTATGCAAATTGAACGAAATAACCATATATCTGTTGGTTGACCTTACGGTTTATTCCGCAAAGGTGAGATAATAAGTTACATTTTGTTTGTATTAGCGATATATATATACTTTTATTTTGTCGAAAAGACTGTTTGATATTATTGTAATTTGGGTGACACTTCGAAATTGAACAAGAAAACCGGTAAGTACTGTACAGAAAAATTGATCATGATGAACTCGTTGATCAAGTTCAATCTCATATCTGTGTCAATGTGATGTAGTACTAGTACTACAACTTTCAACAGTACTACTAATAGTTATAAAAGTTTATAGTTTTATACAACATAACAAGTAAAGTTTACAAACTGAAAGGTAGCACCAATTTGGATTAGTTTAACTTGTAGAACTAGAATTTAACTTAGTAAAACTAAAAAGTAAAAGTATTATGTTGTGTTATACTATAGTACCTGGCAAGTCTGTACGTATCTAGTTGTATTTGAGTTATTGGAAAGGGTTCAGAGGAGGGATTGTAAGATGATTCCAGGGATGGAAGAGTTATCTTACAAGTTATAGGGATATGTTAATTTTTCTTAACTTACTTTTATTATATATATATGTGTATGTATAAAGTCAGAGTTGATCTTACCAAAGTTTACAAGATTATTGGGGGATAGATACGATAAAGGTTTGATATCTTTGTGTTGTATTTCGAGGACAATAGAATGCAAGTTTAGAATTTGAAAAATATAGGTTAGATTACTGTTAAGAAAGTTGACTTACTAATAGGGTGATTGGGTTGTGGAATGAGTTGGCACTGGCAGTAGTGGAGGCTGGTACTTTTTTAAAGACTTTATGAGTGGAATTGTTGAATTTCTGGAGAAAAAAAATGGTGGGTTTAGATTTTTGCATTTTTGAAGGACAAGTGGGCAGGGAGAGCTTTGAAGGACCAAATGATTCTCTGTTGTCATTAGGTCATGTTAAACGTGGCTATGACTGCATTTCATATTCTAAATAGTATCTAGATTTCTCTGTTTGTTTGCACCATGACATTACTTTAGGAAAGTAAATTCTCTCTTTCTTATTCTTCAAAACAAAAAGTTTTATGAGCAACTAGTGAAACTTTGTCATGTAACTTGTGTCAGATCATAAATCAATATTATTTAGTGAGCCTAAGTGTTAACTTAAAAAGTACCAAAGGAGAGGTTGGTCTTTAAACCATTCATTTAGTTAAATGTAGCTTTTCATATGTACACACCAATTTTAGCATAAAAATTGTGCTCATTGTCTTAGAATGACATTTGACATCTACTCTTGTAGTGGGCTTTTTAAGTTAAAGGCTGAGGTACAAAAATGGTGAATACATGAAAAATGTTTACCACTGAAATAATGTTGCATAGGGCTTGTGATATGCAGTGTATAAAACAAGGCTTAGTATTTATAAACTGCTCTTTTAGAATTATAAGAATGTATAAGTGAAAGTAAAGAAAAATATAATAATATGTCCACACATTGTTTGTTAAATACAAAGTCAAAAAGGCTTTTCACCCAATACTAGGGTTCATCAGGCTGGCATAGTATTGATGGAGATTAAATTTTGTAAAAAATCAACTAAAAATTGGCTTCATAAGATGAAAATCAGCTATATATTTCCTTTTTCGCGAGGTGAAGACGATAAATTATTGAGGATAAGTTTCTGCACTA